GAGACATCATAAAAAATATGGAAGGCAATTTTAAAGTTTATGAAATGTCTTTCTCTCTCTCTCTCTTTCTCTCTCTCTCTCTTTCTTTCTGTTTTTCTTTCTCTTTTTCTCTCTTTCTCTCTTTCTCTCTCTCTCTCTTCTCTCTCTTTCTTCTCTTGTGCGGTCATCTATTTGTTGTTGTATTTTTGTAATTTGTTTTTTTTTAATGTGTGTATATAATGTTTATCGCTTCATATAAGTAACGTTCTTGTAACGTAACTTGTTTTTCCTTACTAGACCACGATCTAACCAGCCAGCGGCACTACTGCCATGCGCAGTACTTGTATCACCTTACTGGTTTCAATCAATATACAACATGTAAAAGGGACGCATGAATACTATGGGTCAGTGCTCTATCGTGTCACACCTAACAGGTACGGTCTTTAAACTGCATTCATAAATCTATTACTTGAAAAACAACGAGTCTTCTACGTACAATTTAAGAATAATTCCTTTTGATTTAGCACAACGATAAACAACGAGCTTTAAAATAAAAAGCCTTATTTTYCCGCCCAAATCTTTCTATCAACTTTCTATCATTTTTAAGAATAACTTACTTACGATTCAAGTTTAAAACTCCTTAGATATTGAAATCTTTCTCCTTTTAAAGAATGCGCAAAAAATACATTATAGTTGTGTTTAGAAAATTTTAAAAAAAATGTCAAAAGCAAAAAAAAGCGTAGCCGAGGTCATTTCATCTTGAAATCCGCTTGATTGATAAATTCATAACCTAATCAATATTTTATGACAGGACCTTTCCTTCTAAAACTCAAAGCGCGTCCAAGCAAAATCCTTTAAAAAATATCCCTCATTGTTCTCCACAGAAAAACTGATCATCATTGCCATGATATCGTAAACTAGAACTGCCGAATAAAGATGTTGCCACGTTTAGAGAGATTAAGTAATGGTTTACAACGATTGATAGAATTTTTATGAGTCGAGTTCAAACCTTGCGTCTTTCAATGGAAGAAATTCTCGTCCGGTCTGAAAATATCTACAGGTGAGTCAAATAAAAATATCAAAATATCGACTTTCATAACAGTTCTAATAAAATGAAATACTGTCGCTCATGAAATAGTTAGATTCCTCTAAGAAAATTTTGTTCAAAGATTATAATTATGAAAATTATAATTGATATTTCGATCGACGTCTGTCTTTCCTGGTTAAATCTACTAAGAATTTTAAAAATTACGAATTTATTCGAGATCTATTTAATAATATTTTTGGGGGGAAATGTTTTTAGATGCTTTTGAATAGTCATTATCTTTTTATTGTGAGGGATTTTTTTTTTTTGTCTAATATATAATTTTTTTTGCTACAGTTAATAATTTTGAAAGTGGCATTTCCAACTTGTGATTTGATATTTTCAATAAGATGTTATGTCGATAAATGAMATTCAAATCACAACATTTTTAATTATAAACCAAAACAACTAACAAAAAATGTTTCAAAATAAAAGCAAAAAGGTGTTACAAAAACCGCCTTAATAATTTAAATATTCCAAACAAACGTGTATTTGAAAGACACTGTTCATCTCTACAAATAAATCAATTGTTTTAGTTTTTCGTTGGACTGGACGATGAAATATTATCTTGCAATAGTATTGAATACAAATTGACTAACTTTGACCAGCCCAATTCATTCAATCAAAATTGAAAAGCTATGAAACCGGGTTACAAGTGATCTATCAGTGCGTGTGAACGAAGAAAATTAGCCGGTCAAATTTGACACGAAATGTGTAACGAAAAGGAAATGTTTAATTCGACCAAAATAAAACCAGATAGTCGGGTTCGGACGCAGAAAAATTCGCCTGATATTTGTACATAAATCGTGCAAGAAAATAAAATCCACATACCTCGTAATTTGTCTACTTTTTTTATTTTTTCTATACTATTTTGAAACGTTTATGGTCGCGAATTTATTTATTTATTTTGCATTTATTTCATTCCATTAGACGTGCGCTAAGCGTGCATTGCAGGCTTATCATACGATTGTCAGAATACTGTTCAAAAATAGTGATTTTAAGACAGCCCTGTTTGTTTTGTTCATCTTAGAAACCATTATTTCACCTTTATATTATGCGGTAGAAAATTTTATTCGAGAGAAAAAAATCAATGGAAAATCAGCGTTCTTTACAATCCGTTTACTATCATGAATAAGCTAGATGCTAATTAGATTGTGACGTCACTTTGAGAGTTATGTTGCTTTTGGAGATCTAATTCAGGAAGGTAAGTTCTTTCATAATTTTTTGATTTGAAAAAAGTTTACTAATTTAATATCGATGCGCAGCAGTCCTCGCGCGAAAACTCCCCATTTCACTTGTGTTTGCGACGAGGTTAAAGCTTTTTGATTGACTTTTTTTCAGTGAAGGCCTAAGTAGACAATGATCGAGCTCAATGTGATCGCTTTACTACTAGGATTATTCTGCTTCCTACATTCAATTAATGGTACGTAAGCACGTCAACGTCAGCGAATTGTTCCTCCTATATTTGCTGTAAAACAAACCCCTATTCAGCTGACACCCTTCAAGCAGCAACCAGGCAAGGTCCCGAAGGTGTTCTCTTAATAGCGCTATGACTGTATTACATTAAGCATCGAAATAACGAATTTTTAAAAATCCACAGGTATCCCGTATGAAATATCTGTATATACTGGTGATGTGTTTGGCGCGGGGACTGATGCTAAAGTATATTTAACACTGTTTGGAGAAAAGGGCAAATCAAGAGAAACAGAACTCGACACCAAGAATAGAAACGACTTTGAAAGAAACACGTAAGCCGTCAAATAATTCTTCGTTTGCACGTTACGGCAAGTCTTGATGATCAAACGATTTCTCTTTAGCCTCCTTGGTTAATACCACCAACATGGCTGCTATGTCTTTGTCTTTTAATTTTCTTGATAATGGTTGGTTTGCAAGTCACATCATCACCACCATGTTGGTGGTATTTGGCAAAAGCTTTCTCTTTAGCCTCCTCTGATAATTCCACCAACATGGCTGCTATGTCTTTGTCTTTTAATCTTCTTGGGAATGGTTGGTTTATAGTCACATCATCGCCGCCATGTTGGTGYTATTTTACAAAATATTTCTCCTTAGCTTGTTTCGCTAATACTTTTGTTTTTCCAGTGTTGATAATTATGAGCTTAACCTTGATGATGTAGGAAAGCTAAAGAAGATATCAATACGACACGATAACTCGTGGTTTGGTTCGGGATGGTTCTTGGAAAAGGTATCGACAAACAGCTAGGAATAGATCTATATAAATGATTATCAATATATTAGGTGTAAAAATAATGCAGAAGTATAGACTCCGTCACCTTGGCGTAGTGTTTTCACATTTCAGAAATCAGGCTACGTGTCATTCGAAATTATATGTTTGTATCCATATTTATTTTTATTCTCGGGCGCAAACCGTTAAACAACGCGGTGATACTCTTTGGGAATAACATTTGATCTGAAATGGGAAAATGTTACGTCCAAGCTAAAGAGTTCAATTAGCATCTGAAAATACATCTATTTAGCAGCGTCTGCGTCTATTTCTTAGTTAAAAAGTCTCATTCGTATGTAACTTTAATAACAGGTGCTGATAAAGGACAAACATGGCTGCGTATACGTGTTCCCGTGTCATAACTGGTTGGCATCAAACTATGGCGATAAGAAAGTATCACGTGATCTAATAACGAAAACCAACTGTGAAAAGAATACGAAAAAACATCTAGGTAAGATACACGTGAAGGGAAGTTCATGGTTCCATTAGGTACCGATGCTGTCTAACAAGCTCAAACTTTGATCTTAAAGAATAGACCCTTGCAGCACGTCGGAATGCAGCTCAATTTGAAAGATATAACAATAAGTTTCCAATTTTTATGAGATTGAAATCCTTTTGTTTTGTCCTCCAAATTGAGCTGCTTTGACGTCACATGCAAGGGGTTTTTTGTAATTCTTCTTTTTGTAATTTTTTGAAGATTTTACTATCCCATTAAAATGCCAAAAAAATCAGTTTTTTTTTTATCCTTGTAGTGTTCTTGAAAACAGTTATTTTTAGTTGTTTGTGGACAAGATATTGATTGAATATTTATTATTATTATTATTATTATTTATTGATTATAAATTATTATTGGTTTGATACTAATTTACTGGATAGATAAATAAATGCTCTCGACACCTATTGGTCACTTGCATCATATCGTTATCATAAGTATGATCCATTATGTTTTATGTTTCAGTTTGTAAAACAAGTCTTGGTATGAACAGCGGTCTCATCAAGGACAGTCAGATTACAGCATCATCTTCGTACGATGACAAGCACCAGCCCTTCCATGCGCGGCTCAAAAAGACCGTGAAAGGATCTCGAGGAGCCTGGTGCTCAGCTTTCGCTGATGATACAGAATATCTTCAAATTGTCTTCAAGAAAACTACTCAAGTAGTAGGTACGAATCTGATTGGTTGGTTAATTATGACGTCACTCAAGGAAATATATTCCTCATATGATTTTTATAACATGACGGGCAGTGTTTGCCCCTCATTGAAAGCTGATTTAACACAAGCAATATCCTGACAACTCGCAAAACTGAGTAGCTAGTTTGTGTCTTTTTTGGTATGTTCCAGGTATTGCAACCCAAGGTCAAGCGATGTTTAACAACTGGGTTACAAAATACAGCTTGTCATATAGTACCAATGGGTCCAACTGGAAACCYCTCAAGGAAAATGGAAAAGTGAAGGTAAAAGATTTAATACGCCTCCTCATCTTGTAGGAACCTTTAGCGATTCCCAGTGTTATGACTCTCAATTTCCATAAGGGTTTTAAAATTATATATTTTTTATCCTCTCAAGTGAGTTGTCACCAAATTAAATACATATAGAATAATAGAAATAGAAATTACAATCGACGCAGCACCCCCCCCCCCCCCCCCCCAAAAGGAAAGAAAAGGACGAGCATGTGACAGCAGACGGTAACAGAAAAAAGTTCCAACTGATAACCGCTCCCTTAATATGCTATAAGGGGTATAGACACCAGTATAGGTCCATCGATATACACCCAATCACAGAAGAGTAAGATTCTATTGTTTGGTCCTCCGATTATTTATAATAAAATATTTTATTGGACTTTTTTTGTCGATAGGAATTCAAAGGCAACAAAGACCGAGAGACCGTTGTTACCCATGGATTCCCAGCAATCAATGCGAGGGCGATACGAGTACATCCACTGGCTTGGGAAGGACTGACTAACTGTATGCGAGTAGAACTGTATGGATGTGATACAGGTCAGATATAAAAGAGTATATCAATTAATGTGATATCGTGACGCTGTCGTATACCACGCAGTATTTTCATTGGCTGAGTAATAACATCACACACTCTGATTGGCTCCAAGGGTGCGTCATTTTCGTATCGTGACCGTGACGCCGTCATATCAGCACTTTCCTTGGCTGTGTAATATTTTCGCGCACTCTGATTGGTTCAAATAATCATTACTTCATTTGCGTGACCGTGACAGTTTCTTAGAATAATAACCTCACGCGCTCTGATTGGTTAATCAGATTTCTTCAATTACGTACGGTAAAGGTGATGCTTGCGATTACATGTCAAGTCATACGAAATCTGCTCTGTGATACACACTCTCTACCTAGTATTCATTGATGACTGATAAAAGGGTGAAGCCAGATAGCTAAACTTGTTTGCTATTTGTAGGTGCTTTAACGCATGGTATCGAGAAAGGAGTTAAGAAAGGTATGCACAATTTGTCTATTCTTTAAATGATATTTCTAGTCTGTTCTCAGTAATATTATATTTCTACCCTCAGGATAACGGTAAATTTTGAGTTAGATCACAAGAATTCCTTCCCCAATTTTTTTTTCCAAATTCGAGCTTTGTAATAATGATTTAGGTCTAGTTCATTACTTGTAGTATTTCTAGAGATCTTTATCTTAATCTAGTTTATTAGATACTGACCGCTAGGAATTGTGATTGATAGTAACTATTATGTTTTTTTTTTAATTGAACATGTTCTTTGCATCCTTTAGAACACCCAAAAAAGAAGAAAATTATTGTAAGCACGCCAGAATCAAATCCAAGTCGTACCAGTAAGTCTGCATTACCATTGTCATCACCACCATCACCACCATCATCCCCGCCATCATCATCATCGTCGTCATTATCATCACCACCATCATCCCTGTCATCATATCATCGTCGTCATCATCATCACCACCATCATCCCCGCCATTATCATCATCGTCGTCATCATCATCACCACCATCATCCCTGTCATCAATATCATCGTCGTCATCATCATCACCACCATCATCCCCACCATCATCATCATCGTCGTCATCATCAT